ACTATAAGATACTTTATATATGTACACATTAGAATTTCAACGCCTACACTCTCTCCCAGACTAACAAACACTCACTATCACTATCACTATCCACTCAAACCAGATCTATTGTACATCCCCGTGAGTGCACCTCCACGGCAGGGAAAAGGGCTCGTGTGAGATCCACATCTGTGAAGGCCACACCGCAGTCCAAACCATCACGTCGAAAGCGAATCGTCTGTGTTGTCGTATCAAGAACACATGTCACTTCCTCCCCAACTCTTACACCAACACCGTTGTAGTAATTATTATTATTATTATTATTATTATTATTATTATTATTATTATTATTATTATTATTATTAGAATGATAACTCTTATTCTCACTATAGTTATTACTATGGCCCTGTCCACCAGGGTGGTAGTCTCTCACAGAGGCCCCTGCCAGCTGAAAGGCCGTATACGGCACATCCACCATTCCCTGTGCTGGGCAGTAGAGTGTACCGCGGCCAAGATATAAATAATAACAATTATTATACCGCAGGGAATTCCGCGCCGTGCTGAATCCTTCCAGTGGAAGATAACGATCTGCAAAGCCGATCAGTACATCATTACAGTACATCCCTACACGTATAGTAAACTCAAAACACGGCGGTGCAGTAGTAGCAGCACCAGCAGTACCAGAAGAAGAAGAAGAGGAAATAGACGCAAGAAAGGTACGGTGATCTAATGTACCTAATGCAGAGTTTATCATAATATCAACAACGCCAGGCAACACCAATCGTTGTAGACGTGTGCCATTCTGTAAGACTTGTAACTGTCCACCAGTAAATCCAAATGTATGGCGTAGTGTTGTAGTATTATTATTATTAGTAGTAGTACTCTTATCATTCATCTGTACATGATGTCTCGTATCTGTTCCTTTTGTTTCTCCTATTTTTCTTGTAATGGCTAATGAGGATGGTGAGGAGGATGGTGTCTTCACTATATGTTGTTGTTCCTCCTCACGTGGGAGACGAGGAGGGGGCGATGCGAACATTTCTTCACTTTCACGTATTGATGGTACTTCACATTGAAGTTTCATGATTAAGGAAGATAACTGCTCTAATAATGTTGTTGTCAGTGATAGGATACGCGGTTCCTGTGTGAATATACTACTACCGGCACCACCAGCAGCAGCAGCAGCAGTAGTAGTAAGATTAGAAGATGTAAGAACAGTATGAGGAACAACCCCCCGGTGTATTCCTACTACTTCTGCATCCTGCATCTCCTTTAGTAGAATCTTTAATGTATGCTGTTGTCTTTGTAGAGCCATTAAATTTCTTTGTGTTGAGAAGGAATCGGTGTACGATTGTATGGCATTTAGTGTAGCTGTAGCTCTTAATAATCTTACTATACACTCTACAGCTATAACACGCTCCGTTTCCGTAAACTCTGTCATTTTCAATGGTGAAGTGGAAACCAATTGTTGTTGTTGTGAAAGGATATGCTGACGTAGAGTATAGTCTTTTGCGTAGAGAAGCACTTCCACCACGTTAGATACATCTTCAGTCACCATCTGTAACGGGGTGTCTAACCAATCCTCCATACGTGTTGGCCACACAGCAGAGATAGGAGGACGATCATTCAATACTGCAGTTGTGTGAATTGTATTCCCTCGCCCTATCGTTTCCGGCATCGCTGGTGTATGCAGAGATGGTACGAATGGGTTTTGTCCATTTATTCCATTCCCACGTGAAGCGGAGGGTTTTATTTTTTCCCCTTTACTTCCATCTCGTTCTAATAATTCCATGGACTGCTGCAATACAGTCATTTCATTCCTAAGGCGATCATACATTTCTCGTAGTTGTTGTTCTCGTTGTTGATGGTGTTGTTGTTTTTGCAGGGCTTCATGAAGAGCCACATTCAGTTCCTCACATCTTGCACGTTCCTCTTTACAATCTTTCTCCAAAGACTCCACAAGAGCACGCAAATTCGTTATCTCATCACTAGCATGACGTAATAGCAATTCCGCCTCGTCATTATGTACTAATTCCTTTTGTAGTCGTTCACGGTATGTAGAGATCTCCTCCGCATTTCCTTCTTCTTTACGTTTAGTCTCTTGTTGTATACGATCAAGTTCTTTCTGAAACTGCAAGACCTCTTGTTGTTGTTGTTCCATCTCTGTTGTCAAACGAGCCCGTTGTGTGGTCCATTCCTTCTGTTGTTCCTCAAATCTCTGATGTTGTGTAGTCAGATCACTCTGCAACTGCGCCAGAGCCGCCTCTGACGCTTTCTCTTTCGCTGCAAGTAATGCCTCATAGTGTTTGGCCTGTTCTAAAAGTGCTTCTGCCTTTTCCTTGTAGAGACGTTGTATCTCCTCTGAGTGAGAACGTTCTCGTGCGGCAACACTTCTCTTCGTCTCTTCTTCTTCTTCTCGTTGTTGTTGTTTATGTTGTTTCTGCATAACCTCTTGTTGTTGCTGCATCTGCTGTAGTGCCTGACGTGCCTGACGTAATTCCCCTTCATGTGTTTGTTGTGTCTTTCGTCTCTCCGATATCTCCCGCCAGCTCTCCTGCAGTTGTTGTTCCTTCAACGATTCCTTTCGCGTGGTCTCTGCCAGTTTTCGCTCCAACTCCCGTATGTGTTGCTGCTGTGCTGTCTCCATTTCTCTCTGCTCCCGGCGGAGTGTTGCGATCCCTGTCTCTAATCGCCGCACCTCCGCCGTGAGCCCCGCGACTTGCGCCTCGCCATTTCTTCTCGCCTCGAGGAGCGCCCGGTTTCTCTCCGCGGCGGCGTTGAGTTTCTCCTCCTGCTGCGCCAACGCCCGCTCCGCCGCCGCCCGCCGGGCCTCCTCCGCCCGCAGCTGCTGCCAGGCGGCCTGCAGTTGGTGCTGCAATGCCGCCATCGCCTCTCGCCGACGCCGGGCGGCCTCCTCGCGCTCCTGTCGGGTCTTCGCCGCCGCCGCCAGTCGCCGCTCGGCCGCCTCCCGCCGCTGTTCCTCGAGCTCCTGCCGCCGCAGACGCCGCTGGGCGGCCCGCACCACTTCGCCCTCGTAGAACTTCTCCAGCAGCGACCCGCTCGGGTGTCGGACCTCAGACAACTCGGAGGGACTCATCGTGCGCTCCAGCGGCGTGCAGAGATACGGCGGGGACTCCACTCCCGTCTCTCGACTACTACCACGACTCACACTCCTGTTGTTGTTGCTGCTATGATGATATGGATGAGGATGATGAGGATCAGGTGCGGCAATGAGGAAGGGTGGATGATTGGTATTGGTATTGCTATTGGTGTTATTGGTGTTGCTACTGCTACTCCTACTGTGAGCCCCTTGGGTGCTTTCTCGTGTGAAAAGACCAAAACTCTGCAGAGATGCGGATCGCTCGCTTGGCTGCAGAAGTGAGAGCCGCTCCCGCCACGCCAACACGCGGAGATCTTTCCATGATTCTAATTGCTGCAGTATAATACGACTACGCCGTGCGGACTCCTCCTCTGCACAGATGCGGCGAAATAGGGAACGATTATGTATATTATTACTTTGAACACTACCACGTGATGAAATACGTCCACGGTCTCCACTCTCACTGAGAGGAGTCTCTGCAGATATCTTCTCGCGCATCACGGTATCATATCTTCTAATAGGTGTATGTTGTTGTTCTTGTTCTTGTTCTTGTTCTTGTTGTTGTACGAGCACAGTTGTCCTGTAAGACTGCCCTGGCACCGTACTGCCTGTACCAGCACTACTAATACTACGACTACTACTATTATAATTATTATTGTTATTATTATCATTAGTAATAGTAGTAGTAGAAGTACCATCATTACTATGAAAAGGCACTGTCGTTACAGTATTAGGAGGACTGGACATTTCTAAGGAATATGCTATGATAAAGCGAGTGCCACTCTCTCTCACAAGAATACACGTGTATTATTACCTTATCCACTGTAGAGAGGATAGTGGGAGAAGGGCGTCTCGCTATTTCTATTATTTCTGCTGCTAGCAGTTTCTTGCTTTGAAAGAAATAAAGAGCAAGAATATAAATTAATAAATGAATTAATTTCTAAAAAAAAAAAAAGGCCGCTAAAGCAAGAGAAGCAAAACAAAAAAAAAGAATGAGTTAGAAAGAGAAAGAGAAGGGGGTAAAAGAAAAAAAAAATTAATTAATTTGATACACATAAGGAGACAATGGTGTATATATATATATACTGTAATCAGTAATAGTCTTAACATAAATACAATATATATATATATATATATACGCACAAGCCTCATCACATTCTTTTCCCACATAATGACAAGGGGGCACACCCTGATGCCCTCAGGCTCAAAAAAGTCAACGGCGCAGTTGCAAAGGGAGAACAGAAGACATTTTTTTTTTTTTTTTTGAAATGGAAAAGATAAGAAAAAAAAAGGCAAAGAGAAAGAAATAAATAAATAAAAAAAAAGGAAAAAGAAGGAGAAAAAGAAAAAGAAAAAAAAACACTCACACATACATAACTCTCTTTCCGCAAAAAAAAAAAAAAAAAAAAACTAACTAATAGTCTTACTTCATAAAAACTCCCAAATGGTTTTTATTTTTTTTTTTCTTCTCTTCTCTTTTTTTTTCTTTTGTTGTTGTTTTATTATTTCTTCTAATATTCACTTAACTTTTTTCTTTCTTCTTGTATATAGTTCTTTCCTTTTTTTTTTCACTTTCTCTCATGACACTATCCTTCTGTTTTTCCTGCTACCATTTTAACAATTCTTTTTTTTTTTCATTATTATTTCTTTTCTTTCGCTGTAAGTGCCGTCCCTATTGATTCACGCGGGAATAATAATAATAATAAAATCTTTTTTTTTTTTTTGTAAAATATAAAAACAGAGTAATGAGATGCTAATAATAATAATAACAATAATAATAATAATAATAATAATAAATTAGCCTCATCACAACTAGAATTACTACTGTTGTCGTTGTTGTCTCTAATGCAGAGCTTCTTTTTTCTTTTCTTTTTCTTTCTTTTTATTATTTTCGTTTGGGTATATCAGGTACATTGCTATCATCATCCAACTTGGTGCCAACGGAGAGATGAGCGACACTGCGGCCGGATTTATCAAAAGCTGGTCGATCAATATACACACATTGTTTTGGTGGTGGATGATTAGATAAACCCTCACGAATAGCGGCTGGAATACTCATCACTGTACGACACCGTGGACACATAGCGAGACTTGTATTTTGTGGTAAAATGAGAATACAACGACAACACACACAAGTAACACTAAACTGCTGTACGGGTGTAATTGTTGTACACATTGGACAACGCACAGATGGGGCGCCTATTGGATAAGCCAAAGTGACATGGCAGCCTTGACAGATGATCTGACCAGTGGACTGTGGCTGGTGGGGCATTGGTGCTCACTGTAGAGTGTAGAGATAATATAATAGAGAAAGAGAGAGATAGGAATAAGTGTTTCTTTCTCTGTCTCTCTGTGTGTCTGTCTGTGTGTGTTTTCTCTATTCTCTTATTTCTAATAGTGTTGTTGTTGTTGCTGTAGTAGTAGTGGTGGTGGTGGTGTTAGATTTACACTACGGTACCTTTTCCCTCTTTTTTTTTTTTTCTTCCTTGTCTTTCAGCTTCTCCCACTCGGGGTGATAAGTACGTATATATATATATATATATATATATATATATACGAGAGAATATACAGTTCTAGAAAAAAGATAACGAAGATGTTCTTCAGAGATAGTCCCCCTGTTGAATATCCCAATACACACACTGTTTTTTTTTTTCTTCCTTTTCTTTTCTTTTCTTCGGTTGGCCACTGGCAAACCACGCCTGGTACTATAAAAATAAAAAACAGAAGAAAAAACAAAAAAAAGAAAAGAAAAAAGAGAGTGAGTGAAAGAGAATTGAAGAGTAAAGAAAGCAAAAAAAAAAAAGAGAGAAACAAAGAAGGGGGGTATAAGAGCCTATTATTAGTAGAGCTGTAGGATATAATATATACTTACATTCATAAAAGAAAAAAAAAGAAACAGAAATAATTAAAAAAAGAGGGGGGAATCCACAACAAAGAAAAAAAAAGAAAAACAGCAGTATCTCAGAATTTCCATAAATTGAAATGTTATCAGGCAAAACAAATGGAAATAAATAATCATAATAATAATAAAAACAGCGAATAATATATATATATATATATATATAATGACTATAGATCTTCCATTTGTGAAGTTCTTTTCTTTTTCTTTTATTAATTTCTTTTTTTTTTTCTACACATACAGATTTTCATGGGTGCCAGCAGCAGTCATCCTTTTTTTTTTCATTTTTCTTTATTTTCATATTCTCTGTAATCCTCCTCACCATCATTATTTATTATTTTCTTTCGCCCGTTCAAGAAGCAATCATATTTAGTTTTCGTTCCATTATAATAATGTTTTATCCGTCTTATTTACAGTAAACCTACGCAAGGAAATACAAACACTATAAATGTAAATATAAAAAAAAAGATATACACATGCTCACGACCATCATCACACAAAAATACTACCGCAAACCCTTAGTCCACTTTTGAAGGTGTTTGTGGTATCTGTATATGTGTGTATTTAACCTTTATTTTCGTAATATTCACCTTTCACCCCACTCTCACTCTTTCTCTCTCCTATTTATGAATTATCCGATCCTTATCCTCTTTCTTTTACAGATACACAAAAGCAACACACAAATACAACCAAAAATAAAGAAAAGAAAAGAGAGAGAAAGATATATATATATACACGCACACATTATCCTACACAGATATATACAAGCGTATCCACATATATATAAACTTCATGTTTTCTTCTTTACCCATCCCCAAACATTGGAGAAGGTGTACTAAGCACCTGCGCCATTGCCGCACGTTCAGGCGCATCCTCATCCTCAATCTGCGGTATACCACAAGACACATATAGGGACAAGTCATATTCTCTACAATGTTGTTCCTTTTCCTTTTCCTCTTCTCCTTCTTGTTTATTATTATTATTATTATTATTATTATTATTATGAGGATGGGGATCCTCCCCACGGTTCTCCTCTCCCTCCTCTGCCTCTGAGAGGGTGTGATTGGGGTGGAGGGCCTTCACCTCGTCGAGGACTTTCTCCAGTCGCCGCTGCTGCCCCACAAACCGCGGCGTCACGCCAATGAAGTACCGCACCCCGTCGTGCTCCACCCGGCGGATCACGTACCGGTCCACCCGCACAGGCGCCCCCGTCGAGGGCTCACGCACCCAATGCACATCCGTCTCCGCCGCATCTCTGGTCTGAATGGAAATACTCTTTATCCATGAGAGAAGCACCTCCTCTATATTGATTGAACGGTAGGATACTCCATCTTGAAGTTGTTGTTGTTGTTGCTGCTGTTGCTGTTGTTGTTGTTGTTGTTGTTGGGAATCCATACCGCTACTACGGCGACGACGTTCCGGTAATTGAGATTGTATACCATCTCTCTCATAGGATATATGTACCCAAAAGGCACCATTAGGGGCCTCACCAGGATCCTGTAGAAGGATATTACTAGCATGATTACTAGAATAATTCGCTGGGGAGTTTGGTTGTACAGGGGATTCCGTAGACTCTGTAGTTGGAGAAACACTATGTGTATTTGTCTTCATATGTGAAAAATTACCCTCCACCGATTTGGCATCCGGTGATCTTATCATGAGACCAGTAGCAACTCCATGCTGCTGACGCTCCGCAATCTCACGTGTTGTGCTGCAGCGCAAAACATCGCCCTGGTATAAACCTAAAGAAGGCATATCACGTTCTACAATAAATACATCATTTAAACGATTAGGTGGTGGAACAGTTAATCCACTGCGCAGCAAACCACGATAGTTCCATGCACGCGGAATAGGCAATACATTGCTATCCACAGTTTGCGTTAATTGCTGAGCTAGAATAAGGCATCCACGGCGAGCATAGGCTGCACTAGCCCAAATACAGATTCGACCATCTTCTACCCAAATACGAAATCGACTTCGACGACGAGCAAGAAGAGCTTCCGTTTTTGAAAATTGATGCGATTTGTTTGATTGATTAAAGGGAATATTCTCAGCAGAGGTATTATTATTATTATTATTATTATTATTA